TTCGCATATAAAAATATCCAAAATAACATGTCACCATAATCATGTGTTCTCCTTTATGGTTGTTTATTTTCAAGACAATAATTACAACTTTTTTGAGAAAATAAAAAAGATTAGAGGCTAAAATCAATCTGTAAAATATATAATTTCAGTTAATCATACCCCAAACACAGGGTATCAAGAGATATTTTGAGTATGTCCATGTGGAGCTTGTAATAAAATTAGTTTTTTTTAAGCATGTGATCTCCTTTAAGCATATATCTAGTATAGATACTCAAATTATGTCATTTTGTTAGATCATTATACATAACAGCCAAGACATTTGTAGTTATCAATAACTGAAAGGGTAAGAGTAAATTGCATTCTTCAATAAAAATCACTGACCATCAAATTGCATGAACACCTTTACGTGTTCTCCTTTTCTTCAGAGTGAAAAATATAGAGTGTATAATGCTTTTCCCACCATATTTAGTTTCCATCATGTAGAGATGATTAGGGTAGGGTGGATTTGAAATGTATTAGTCACAAACCAACTCATTTTCCTGCAAGAAAAGTCTTTGAAAGTGGGATTACATAATACATGTGAATCTCTTTAATTGTATAACATAACATTCAAATGGTGTGAGTGGTGGTAGTTTTAGGTTAAAATGACTGATAAATTACAAAACTAAATCTGCAACCAGTAATTAGGGGTTTATTTATAAAAACAGATAATTGGATATGTGGTGATATGCATGTAAAGGAGTTCACAGAATGGGTAAAGGAGATCACCATTTTAATTAAACTCCTTATATATGCTTATCACTTTTTAGTATAATGGCACATTATAATGAAAGCTTACATTTGTGATCTGTGGAAGTAGTCTAATACAAAATAACTATTCTTATTAGCCTGCTATAACTGGATTTACTGTAGAAATGTAAAAGAGATCACTTTAATTTGTACACCTGTCTTTGCTAATATACAAAGATGGTATGTATTTTGGTGATGGGTTTCATATTTGTATTTTTGAGAATGGGTGTTAAACAAAATCAGCAGCTGAAGTATTATCACAGAAAAAAGTCAGCAGAAGGGAAAACCTTCTTACAATTTGTTTGCTTTTTGCCTCAGTACAATATAATCTGGTAAAGGAGAAAATGTATGAAAAACAGTAGTCATCTTCATCAAGGTGGGAAAATATGACAGAATGTGGTCTGAGTGTTAGTTTTTTGGCACAAGGTTTTTCATTAGTTATATTTTCAAGAACTGTATAATTCATACTTATAGGAAAAGATTATGTTCCAACATTTTCCAGTTGAAAAATGGACTCTTAAGAAAGCCTGGCCCGTAATGAAAAATAATAATAACAATTCTTCATGAGCAGTTTGAGCATTACGTAATTCAATACAGTACCTTGAGCAATGCGCTTGCCAAGTGATTTACAGCTTGTGTGGTGGGATTATTAGTTAGACACAAATCAAAGGGCAATAAAACAATCAAATTCAAGTATAAACAGATGTATACTGTTATGAGGTTTAAGCTATTTAGGATAAACAATTGTAGTTTCCTGTTACAAGTTGCAGACATTCTAGAAAGAAAAAATGGTAATTTAGATTTATTTTTTTTATGGTAGTTATGAGGTTGTTCAAATTGCCCAAATGTGCATACGGTTATGGTAAAGAAAATAACAGATAAAATATAAAGTTTTATCAAAGAAAAAACATTTGATATTTATTTAGGAAATTTTAGAGATTACTCAAAGGAAATTTGACAGTTTTCAGGTGAAGAAACGTATTTTTAATCTTAACATGAAAATCTCTCTGTATTTGGAGCAGTCAACACTGATTCCATATATTCATGTAAAAATACCTAATTAAATAATCTGACTTATTGCCTGCAAAAAACTTGTACTGTTTACTAAAAGCTTGCCAAATTTGATGAATATACAAAACATATTAAAAGTTGTAGTATGGAAACTCAGATGAACACAAGATTGGTGTAATCTATCAAGCTTGTAGCCAGAGGTTTCACTTAATAATTAAAGTGAATGATAGAAAATGACTTATTTGTCTCTCTTTCAACTCTTGAGTTAGGAGTATCAGCTGTTGATAACTGATGTGTTTTTATAATATAGGTAATTCTTTTAAAATTTATTTCATGTAGAGCATATGTATTGACATTCTCTCTCTATTTTTTACTTGATTTCATCTTAAATTTTTCCTTCATTTTCAGAGTCTGGCTTTAATTAAGGGATCATGAACTCTGTGCCATAATAATGACAGCTGTCATGTTATTTTGCTGATCCTAACTTTAAAGATGACTAATATCATTTGTAATATTGTTTTTTTTTAGCCGTTGCTAGTGTTTGTTAATGTGAAGAGTGGTGGCTGTCAGGGACTGGAGTTATTGTCATCCTTTAGGAAATTGTTAAATCCTTATCAAGTTTATGATCTTGAAAATGGTGGACCTCTTCCAGGGTGAGCTGGTTATTCCCTAGTTTCTTAAAACTTGTAGACTATATGATAAGAACTTTGGTAAGAAATAATATGTGAAACTGTCTGTAACCTCTTCCAAGTTGAATAGACAGGAAGTTATTGTTAGTTTAAGAGCATAGAAACTTTTGAGTAAAATATTGGAATATGATGAATGAAAGTGACTAAAGTTTGCATTGGCATCTTCTCAAACTTTTTATTTATCAAAAGCAAAAACAAAAAACATTGTAATACTTCTTACTGAAGTATCCATAGAAAGCAAAGCATTTAAAAATTCTTGTCTAAAAATGAAGCTGATATGTAACATGCTGTATGTTAAAAATGGAATATAATCATTGGAAGTTACATTAAGAGTTAAATTGCAGTGTTGTTATGTGTAAAATTCACTTGAAACTTCAGATACTATTTTTCCACGTATTTAACCTTTTCTGGACCCTAGGGGTGTCACCTATATTTTGGTTTTTTTCTTTCTCCCAAGTGAGATACTTAAACAAGTTTCATGAAATCAGTACAAACTTACTAAATGATGACTAGTTTCCGCTTAAAATAATTACTCTGACTTTTTTTTAGTTTTTTTAAATAATTTTTTAAGTTGTAAAATTTCCAATATTTTGTTATAAGACATTTCTTGGAAAATCATTGAAAATTTTTCCAATCATCTTAGAATTTTATTTGTTGTTGTTGTTTATCTAGTGCACTTTATCTTCATTGCTTTTCATTGATCTATTTATTTTTATACTTTATTTTGCCCAGTGCAGTGGTCACTGCTTACAGCTATAATTGATAAGAAATATGTCAAAAACTGGCAAAGATCTATCAGTAGTTACCAAAATACTTGCATTGAGCATGATTCTGATGCATCTGGGCCCATTCCCACTCTTGCTTGTATTGATAAAAAAGAATCTCATTTTTTGGTCAAAATATTAGCTTTCTATAATGCATTGTGTTTAATTGACAAGCGGGTTCAGGTCAAATTCTGCATCACATTGATTAAGGAAATGCACCACAGTATAAAACTTTTCACCTAGAAGGAGACCATCTTTGATGCTTACAATACTACTACACACACTGAAAATTTACTTTTTTTAAAAGTCTCACTCTAACAGATTCCTAAAACTTGGCAACTCTATATCTGACTTAAGACTAAGCCACTCAAAATAGCATCACCATTACTTAAGTAATGCTAGGTAACAATATTTTTGTTAATAAAAGTCTTAGTGAAGATCAATTTATATTTCATAAATAAAATTTCTTTTTAATAATATATTTATTTCCATTGTTTGAATACAATAAACTTAATAGTAATATTAAATACATAAGGATTTAAGTCATTACAATATTTTGCCATAGACAACTATACATGTTATAAACCTAACTAAACTAATATGATGATGTATGATAAAAACAAAATCTATTGCTTTCAAAAAGATATAATTTAACATTGAAATATTTTTCAGGAATGAAAATAATATGTGAATAAACTTTACAAAATTCAAAAATCTGTGGATAAGTCTTCTAAACTTGCCATTGTATTTTTATTCGTCTTTACAGAAGCTGTGGATAAACTTTCTCATAAAACCATAAATTGCTGCTCACACCACTTTCTGTTGTCAGTTGATTTAAATAGCTTATAACATGCTATATCCAATGGTATTTAAACTTTGTGTTTAGCTATTTTCAAAACTGTGCATCATTAGTAATTGTTCATACCACCTTCTATAATATTATCAAAGAGTAGAAATGAAGCTCTGTATTAATAAAAATACCAACAGAAAAGGAAAATCAAAGGGTACTAGTATTTTAAGTAAATATCAAATATAAACTCATACTTTGGGCTGGATAGAAAAAATAACAATCAGTGAGTATGTTGTTTAGAGGTAAAACTCATAGGAGTTGTTGAAATAGGATTAGGATTATTATTTTAACTTAAATGTTGAATTTTAATATGCGCATGTGCAGTCAACACCTGAAAGAAGCTCTGTGGTTATCATAGAGTTAATTTATGTAACTTTGAGTACCTTACAACAGAAATTCAAAGTCATATCTACATTTTATGCCTTTTATAAAACAAAATCATTTTTAAAAAATCAGTGAAATCCTAATACTTTCAACAATGGACCTGTCTTCATCAAAGCTGCAAAATGATGCAAGTAGCATAAAGTATGAATATAAGTTTTGTCAGCTTTTACATATGTGTATGTATGTGTGGGCTAGATTCTTTATAGTAGGTGTCTGTGACTTGTTGGCAATAAATTTAAACAATAAACAGACAGCACAAAATCCACTTGTTTTGAAATAATAAATCCAAATTGAGTCCAATGTATGTACAAAAATTCATTGCATATTGGTTATCACAATTGTATCTAAAGCTTTAAATAATTGTCCCTTTTTTTCATCAAAGTCCATGTGGAGTGGATGACGTTGTAACGTCAAAACATGTAGAGTCGTCAACTTTTTGAAGGCCATAGATAGGCCTAAATAAAATGTTTTTAATTGTGTACCAGTTTAACATTGAATATTATTTATGATATTAACTTTATACACAAATGCCAAAATACTATAATTAAGATTCATAATTGTTTAAACATTCTGTGAGGGTTTTTTATGTTGGACAAAAACATATCTAGTTCAGTGAGCAATATTCAGGTATAAAGTGAACACCTGTATATCATGTTTCAGATTTAAATATAAACAGTTTTTTGCTCAAAAAATATCTTGAAATTTATATTTCATCATTTTGTAACATTTATTTAGTATAATTTGCAAAGAAAAAAAAGTTCAAACCTATATTTCTGTACAGCTCCAATGAGTCTCGCCTGTAAAAACTAAACTTATTGATTTTTTTAGAATTTTTACACCTATCCCAAAGCCTAGTTTTATGATTTTCTAAGAAACTATCATCCTTTGAGAATGTAACTCTCAAGGATTTGTTTTTTAGTGATTTTCCTTCTCTTTCTCTGACTTTATTAGTACAGTCTTTTATCACTCCCTTTTATGTCTTCACAGCATGTGATGTGACAATTACTAATGAAGATCAGCTTTGAAAATAGGCCCAGGCAAAGCTTAAATATCATTGGATAGAAGAGATGATAAAATTGTTTATGTCAATGCGGAGTGAACAAGGTGTCATGTGAACTGTTCAACTAATTTATTGTTTCATAGTTAGGTGATTAGATGTTGCTTGTACAGAGAAGATAAATGGATTTAATGGAAATCTTGGAAGATATAAGAACAAACAACAGATCTGGGAGTATTGTTATAGTTTTCTTAGATGTTCTTTTCATTCTTGAAAGTCTTAAATTATATTTTTTAAAGCTATGGGAACTTTATTGTATGACAAAACATCTGGTAAGCCTAGTTAGGTTTAGAGAGTACAGTAGTAGATGGCAAAATATTCTAGAGGTGCAAATGACTGAAATCCATATCTATTAAATATTATTCTAAAGTTTATGACATTCCAATAACACACATAAATAAAAGAATTTATCCTTTGAAAAGAAATTACATTTATCAGAAATGAATTGATTTTGACCAAGAATATTGTTAACGAAAATGTTGTTGCCTGACGTGACCTTGATCCACTTTTAACATATCAGATTATAGGTCACTAATAAATTTTTGTTTGAGTGTTTTTGATCCTAGCTGTATGTGTAAATCAAAATTGTCTGTCTTTTCACAAATTGTGAGAAACTGGGTAAATCTATTTTGCTGAAGTTTGGTAGAGGAACTAAAGATCGTGTGAAAATGAATTAGCATTCAGATGAATGGTTCAAGGTTGGCAGCCATTTCAATTTTACCAGCATAATGAGGGTTCAGTTGAACAAAGAGCTTGGTAGTCAAATACATGAAACTAATTCCAAAACCAAGTGGTGTTTAATACTACAAGTAGCATGAGTATCATTTCATTGAAAAAATGGTTCCCATGGTTCAGTTCAATACAGTAGAAGTGGGCAACACATGGCCCCTTTATATTGTTCCTTTTTTAAGTCCAGCATTGCTAGATACCTTCGTTAGTTTATACTTAGTGTTATGCCTTATTGAAATGTGCCATTTTATCCCTTAATTCTACATGTATCATTTTAGCCATATTATGATTTCAAATCAGTATGGTACTATTATCAGTCAATTTAAATAATGCATTATAATTTAAAAACACATGTTTGTTTTTATGCAGATTGTATGTGTTTAGACGAGTGAAGGACTATAAGATTTTAGTTTGTGGAGGAGATGGTACAGTAGGCTGGACACTACAGTGTCTAGACAATGTTGGTCAGGACTCAGAGTGCTCGTCCCCTCCTTGTGCTATCCTGCCTCTTGGAACAGGCAACGACCTTGCCAGGGTTCTTCGTTGGGGTCCTGGCTACACTGGTGGAGAGGAACCACTTACACTGCTCAAGGATGTTATTGATGCGGAAGAGATAAGATTAGATAGGTAGGCAAAACCTTGAGTAGAATTTAAGAGATATTTTGTTGTATTATTGTAACCAGCTATTAGGGCATTAGTGGCTTGAAAACAAATTTATACAACTATTTCAGCAGTATATTCAAAGATTAAGAAAAATACATATTCCTCATGATGTCAGAAAATCAGATAGGTTCAAGAAGTCTTGATACAAAATGATAAAACCCTTTAACCCGAGTGCTTTTGAAAGGTGGACCTTTACGAAAGCACTCGGGTTATAGGGTTTTTATCATTTTGTATCAAACATTTATTCTTAAAACTTATTTGAGTTGTTTTCACGTTAAACTTATAAAAAGCATACATTGGAAATGCATTCCATATATTCATGTTTATGATAAAACATTAAGAACAAACATATGTTTTTTGTTTTTTAGTTTTTATTTACTTGAACTTTGCCATTTTTGGTAATATTGCAAGCAGCTTGTAGGATCTTTTTTCTTTTTACAATGAAAGAACATAATATTTTGAAAGAGTTCGAATTTTTTGTAATTTTGAAGCATGTGTAAAAACAAGAGCTGTAATTTTCTCTATCAAAGGCACAATACATTCTGTATAACTTTCTAGTACTCATTATAGATTGTGATATTTTTATCAAACAAACATGATTCTTAAGTACTTTATACTTGTGATTTTTTCATCCCTCTGGTAACAACCAGTTAAGATTATAGTGCATATAGTCAGGGTCACATATTAAAATGCTTCAAGAACATCAGCTGGGATTTTGTTTTTATTGTTTACATTACACACTTACAAGTGGATGTTATTTCCTGTGTTAGGTAGCATGTGTGTTGAATAGACAACATGCAAAGTAATTTTCATTTTAAGATTAAAAATACTTTTATGCATCAGAAAATTTTTAACTTTCATATGCAAAAAATCTTTATAATGCCCAGGTAGTTATCAAACATTTCTTATGAAAAAACTTTATATTTTATATGTTATTTTTCAGTAATTAATTTCTGTAGGGATTCAGTACATTTGACCGATCTTGCAACCACTCAAAAAATTGGAAATAAATATAAATTACACCTCTTT